CAGCAGAAGGAATGATGATATGGGCCTAGGTGCTTACCTGGTTGGCTGCGCATGCGTAGCGGGGGGTAACTCCACGGGGTGGGGGCCGTATAATAGATAAAAAAGATTTTATTTATTGTACAATATTTTTATTAAAAAATTGATACAACTGTAACAGGACATTTTCAGCGCAGAAAATGCATATATGTACCCCAAGGACGATCTCTATGAAAAAGAATGACTGGGCCCTGGGCCTTTCCTAGATGAAGCTTGGTGTCAAATATGAAGAAAATCCAGTCAACGGTTCTTGAGATAGCTTAACATGCAGGTTCACATGCTGAAATCTTCAAAGTGTCGCCATGACCTTGAAAATTAAGTGAAGGTCACCAAAATAGACTGGGCCCTGCGCCTTCCCTAGACAAAGCTTGGTATTGAATATGAAGAAAATCCAGAGAACGGTTCTTGATATAGCTTAACATGCAGGTAAAATGTTAAAGTCCCCTTGTGACCTTGAAATGAAGGTCAAGGTCACCAAACCTAAGCTGGACCTTTCTTATACTGTGATGAAACCAGGTACCAAAATATGAAAAGAATCTAGTGAACGGTTCTTAAGATATTCCAATTCGGACGGACAGGGCCTAATACTATACCCCCCGCTTCGTGCTAAACGCACGGCAGGGGATAATAATAAAGAAAGTTTACCTGACTGTGTACGGAGCGGACACAAGCTTCAAAGTATTAACAGGCAATACAACTCACGGTAATGAAAGGACAGGGCTATAACTATTCCCCATGTGGCACATTAGAAGTTTGTCCTCATACTGGTGAATACACATGGAGAAAGTGGGTGGAGGCAGGGTTGGGGGAATAACCAGTTGTGTGGGTAGGGGCAGGGGTGGGAGAATAACCAGTTGTGTGGGTAGGGGCAGGGGTGGGGGTGGGGGAATAACCAGTTGTGTGGGTAGAGGCAGGTGGGGGAATAACCAGTTGTGTGGGTAGAGGCAGGGGTGGGGAATAACCAGTTGTGTGGGTAGAGGCAGGGGTGGGAGAATAACCAGTTCTGTGGGTAGAGGCGGAGGTGGGGAATAACCAGTTTGTTGCTAGAGGCAGGGGTGGGGAATAACCAGTTGTGTGAGTAGAGGCAGGGGTGGAGGAATAACCAGTTGTGTGGGTAGAGGCAGGGGTGGGGAATAACCAGTTGTGTGGGTAGAGGCAGGGGTGGGAGAATAACCAGATGAGAGGGTAGAGGCAGAGGTGGGGAATAGCCAGTTTTGAGGGTAGAGGCAGGGGGGGGGAATAACCAGTTGTGTGGGTAGGGGCAGGGGTGGGGAGTAACCAGTTGTGTGGGTAGAGGCAGGGGTGGAGGAATAACTAGTGTGGTTAGAGGCAGGGGTGGAGGAATAACCAGTTGTGTGGGTAGAGGCAGGGGTGGGGAAATAACCAGTTGTGTGGGCAGGGGAGGGGAATAACCAGTAGTGTGGGTAGAGACAGGGGTGGGGAATAACTAGTTGTGTGGGTAGGCCAGGGGTGGAGGAATAACCAGTTGTCTGTGTAGGGGCAGGGGTGGGGGAATAAGCAGTTGTGTGGGTAGGCCAGAGGTGGGGGAATAAGCAGTTGTATGGGTAGGGGCAGGGGTTTGGGGTATAACCAGTTGTGTGGGTAGGCCAGGGGTGGGAGAATAACCAGGTGTGGGTGAAGGCAGGGGTTGGGGAATAACCAGTTGTTTGGGTAGGCCAGGGTTGGTGGAATAACCAGTTGTGTGGGTAGAGGCAGGGTTGGGAAAATAACCAGTTGTGTGGGTAGAGGCAGGGGTGGGGCAATAACCAGTTATGAGGGTAGAGGCAGGGGTGGGGCAATAACCAGTTGTGTGGGTAGGCCAGGGGTGGGAGAATAACCAGTTGTGTGGGTAGAGGCAGGGGTGGGAAAATAACCAGTTGTGTGGGTAGAGGCAGGGATGGGGGAGTAACCAGTTGTGTGGGTAGGGGCAGGGGTGGAGGAATAACCAGTTGTGTGTGTAGGCCAGGGATGGGAGAATAACCAGTTGTGTGGGGAGGGGCAGGGGTGGGGGAACAACCAGTTGTGTGGGTAGGCCAGGGGTGGGAGAATAACCAGTTGTGTGGGTAGGGGCAGGCGTGGGAGAATAACCAGTTGTGTGGGTAGGCCAGGGTTGGTGGAATAACCAGTTGTGTGGGTAGGGGCAGGCGTGAGGGAATAACCAGTTGTGTGGGTGAGGGAACAGGTGGGGGAATAACACTGGTATTATACTTATTACAATTAACTTGATGTTAACAATGATCCTTTTTGACTTGACTACTACAATGAATTCATTAAACATAATGTCAACAATGATCCTGTTTGACTTGTCTACTGCAATTTATTCATTAAACATAATGTCAACAATGATCCTGTTTTACTTGACTACTACAATGAATTCATTAAACATAATGTCAACAATGATCCTGTTTGACTTGTCTACTGCAATTTATTCATTAAACATAATGTCAACAATGATCCTGTTTGACTTGACTACTACAATGAATTCATTAAACAAACTGTCAACAATGATCCTGTTTGACTTGACTACCACAATGAATTCATTCAACATAATGTCAATTATGCTCCTGTTTGACTTGACTACCACAATGAATTCATTCAACATAATGTCAACAATGATCTTGTTTCGACTTTACTACCACAATGATTTCATTAAACATAATGTCAACAATGATCCTGTTTGACTTGACTACTGCAATGAATTCATTAAACATAATGTCAACAATGATCCTGTTTGACTTGACTACTGCAATGAATTCATTAAACATAATGTCAACAATGATCCTGTTTGACTTGACTACCACAATGAATTCATTCAACATAATGTCAATTATGCTCCTGTTTGACTTGACTACCACAATGAATTCATTCAACATAATGCCAACTATGCTCCTGTTTGACTTGACTACCACAATGAATTCATTCAACATAATGTCAACAATGATCCTGTTTTACTTGGCTACTACAATGAATTCATTCAACATAATGTCAACAATGATCCTGTTTGACTTGACTACTACAATGAATGCATTCAGCATAATGTCAACAATGATCCTGTTTGACTTGAATACTGCAATGAATTCATTCAACATAATGTCAACAATGATCTTGTTTCGACTTGACTACCACAATGAATTCATTCAACATAATGTCAATTATGCTCCTGTTTGACTTGACTACCACAATGAATTCATTCAACATAATGTCAACAATGATCCTGTTTGACTTGGCTACTACAATAATGTCAACAATAATCCTGTTTGACTTGACTACCACAATGAATTCATTCAACATAATGCCAATTATGCTCCTGTTTGACTTGACTACCACAATGAATTCATTCAACATAATGTCAACAATGATCCTGTTTGACTTGGCTACTACAATGAATGCATTCAGCATAATGTCAACAATGATCCTGTTTGACTTGAATACTGCAATGAATTCATTCAACATAATGTCAACAATGATCTTGTTTCGACTTGACTACCACAATGAATTCATTCAACATAATGTCAATTATGCTCCTGTTTGACTTGACTACCACAATGAATTCATTCAGCATAATGTCAACAATGATCCTGTTTGACTTGGCTACTACAATAATGTCAACAATAATCCTGTTTGACTTGGCTACTACAATGAATTCATTCAACATTATGTCAACAATGATCCTGTTTGACTTGATTACTACAATGAATTCATTCAACATAATGTCAACAATGATCCTGTTTGACTTGACTACTACAATGAATTCATTCAACATAATGTCAACAATGATCCTGTTTGACTTAACTACTACAATGAATTCATTCAACATAATGTCAACAATGCTCCTGTTTGACTTGACTACCACAATGAATTCATTCAACATAATGTCAACAATGATCCCGTTTGACTTGACTACCACAATGAATTCATTCAACTTAATGTCAACAACGATCCTGTTTGACTTGACTACCACAATGAATTCATTCAGCATAATGTCAACAATGATCCCGTTTGACTTGACTACCAATATGAATTCATTAAACATAATGTCAACAATGATCCTGTTTGACTTGTCTACTGCAATGAATTCATTAAACATAATGTCAACAATGATCCTGTTTGACTTGACTACCAAAATGAATTCATTAAACATAATGTCAACAATGATCCTGTTTGACTTGTCTACTGCAATGAATTCATTAAACATAATGTCAACAATGATCCGGTTGACTTGACTACCACAATGAATTCATTAAACATAATGTCAATTATGCTCCTGTTTGACTTGACTACTACAATGAATTCATTCAACATAATGTCAACAATGATCCTGTTTGACTTGACTACCACAATGAATTCATTCAACATAATGTCAACAATGATCCTGTTTGACTTGACTACCACAATGAATTCATTCAACTCATTGTCAACAATGATCCTGTTTGACTTGACTACTACAATGAATTCATTCAACATAATGTCAACAATGATCCTGTTTGACTTGACTACCACAATGAATTCATTCAACAAAATGTCAACAATGATCTTGTTTCGACTTGACTACCACAATGAATTCATTCAACATAATGTCAACAATGATCCTGTTTGACTTGTCTACTGCAATGAATTCATTCAACATAATGTCAACAATGATCCTGTTTGATTTGACAACTACAATGAATTCATTCAACATAATGATCAAATGTTATGGATAACAACTCTGTTATTTTGTGAGTGCAACGTATCGATACAGATTCTTGTACTGTTGATCCCTGCTTGACAATGGCACAATACTCAAAACATCTCCCTCCCGGACCGAAAAAAAAAAAAGTTGTTATCCATAAAGTTCAATAAAACATTTATGTAATAATAATGTCATGTGCCCTGAAGCAGTCATTACAATTCTTACAGAAACAAGGTATGTAATTTAGTTCAAGCACACATACTCCAATAATTGAAAGAAAATGTCCACTTACATAAAATCTGCCATGCATGCTGTTTCCTGGTTCAGCTGTGACATTTATACCTTCAGCTTTAAACAAACCCCTGACATGTTTGACTAGAGCACCTTGCGGCCATACCTGCAGCTCCGACCACCTGAAACAATGGGATTATTAAATGACAACAGACATACAGGAGATGCACAGTGACAACAGACATACAGGAGCTACACAGTGACATCAGACATACAGGAACTACACAGTGACATCAGACATACAGGAGCTACACAGTGACATCAGACATACAGGAGCTACACAGTGACATCAGACATACAGGAACTATACAGTGACATCAGACATACAGGACCTACACAGTGACATCAGACATACAGGAGCTACACAGTGACATCAGACATACAGGAGCTACACAATGACATCAGACATGCAGGAGCTACACAGTGACATCAGACATCCAGGAGCTACACAATGACATCAGACATACAGGAGCTACACAATGACATCAGACATACAGGAGCTACACAGTGACATCAGACAAACAGGAGCTACACAGTGACATCAGACAAACAGGAGCTACACAGTGACATCAGACATGTAGGACCTACACAGTGACATCAGACATACAGGAGCTACACAATGACATCAGACATGCAGGAGCTACACAGTGACATCAGACATACAGGAGCTACACAGTGACATCAGACATGCAGGAGCTACACAGTGACTTCAGACATACAGGAGCTACACAGTGACATCAGACATACAGGAGCTACACAGTGACATCAGACATACAGGAGCTACACAGTGACATCAGACATACAGGAGCTACACAGTGACATCAGACATACAGGAGCTACACAGTGACATCAGACATACAGGAACTACACAGTGACATCAGACATACAGGAGCTACACAGTGACATCAGACATGCAGGAGCTACACAATGACACCAGACATACAGGAACTACACAGTGACATCAGACATACAGGAACTACACAGTGACATCAGACATGCTTGAGCTACACAGTGACATCAGACATACAGGAACTACACAGTGACATCAGACATCCAGGAGCTACACAGTGACATCAGACATACAGGAACTACACAGTGACTTCAGACATACAGGAGCTACACAGTGACATCAGACATACAGGAACTACACAGTGACATCAGACATACAGGAGCTACACAATGACATCAGACATGCAGGAACTACACAATGACATCAGACATGCAGGAACTACACAGTGACATCAGACATACAGGAGCTACACAATGACATCAGACATACAGGAGTGAGACTGTTACACAGAAATCAAATGATATTTATGTAGATACAACACACTGCAAATTTCATCCCCCCTTTGATTCCAAAACCTTGAACCCAAAATATACTCCACCATAGCACATCACCAACATTTTGCCAATCAGTTACCTCCCCTTTCCTAGGATATCACAACTTGTCAAACGGGGTCTTAGGGAAGTTTTATTACCATATGTTTATTAACATAAAAAAAGGTAAATCATTTCTTATCCTGATAAAATATATTGCAACGTATAGCAGCCTTATACTACAGCTGGTGGGGTAATGTACTAGGTCTTGGCTCCCTCTTCAGTAATCATGGCTAAGTGTGGTATATGATAAATGTGTTGCCCTGAGGACCTGAATATCAACTTGAAGTGAATCCCATCAACAGCCCAGCAGTCTGTCAGAATACTTATGTATAACTGCAGTTCACTTCTTGTTGTGTGCATGCTACACTGTCAGCTGCTACACTAAACACCAGTGGTTCAATTTGCTACTCCCTGACCAAGATGCAACAGTGTTCAAAGGAGTGCACCTGGCAAAGGATGCACCCATGATGTGAAAAAGAAACTGTGCTGATGCTGCAGCTTGTGACGCTTAAGGATTAGTAATGAGATGCCATCAAGCCATACACATACTTGACGAAGAAGGTCTGAGCCAGTGCCTCTGATCCTCAAGATGAAAGCTCTTAAGTATTGTCAGTATCTCTGGAGAAGTACTAATCGTATTCTATCTGATAAGCACTACATAATGTACCAATGGTAGCTCTCAAAAGGTCAGCTGGCTGTAGTAGCATGTCTGAAGGAGAAAGTGTATGTTTCAGATGCACTTGTGGATCCTGAACCTCATAGGTGAGACTAAAGGCTTCTTACGACCAGAAGATTCCAAGACTACTGTACTCAAGTACTATACCATAACAACAGGTTGTTGAGTCCAAGATTATAGAATGATTGGTTCAATCCTGAAAACATGTAACATAATGCTCAATGAGAAGAATTTTCAAGGGTGTTCAAGGGGACGTAGTTCCAGATCTACACCTTGTGGAGAACCACATTTGGGATCTGAGTTATGCAATAGGAGTGAGGGAATTAGACATGTTGTATCAAGATAAGAAATAATTAACGTATATGCACATAACATTACATAGTACTTACGCATTATACGGTACATGAGCATGTCGTCCCTCCACACGCTGCCATCGACCAAGGTGAAGGGCACATCGGTGCAGAAGGTCAAGGTAGCGAGGTGACAGGAAGTGGGCAATGAGCATGAGAAAAGCACTGAGCCAGGTGAGACATACATGTTGTCCTACCCACCATGTGTCATAGTACAGGGTGTTCTGTGGAAGAAGAGAGTTGCTAGCTGCAGTTAGACAATGACACACTAATCTAAACAACAGTCATCCTTCTCCCTACTTCCTTTGTATACACTTATAGCAGTTCTTCAGCATGTATGACAGCAGCCTGATATTTTATAGGACACCTTTCAGTCAAGTCATTCACTGTGAATGAGATAAACTTCAAGTCACTGCTTACATAATATGTGTGAGTAACATAGAAATATACAATGTGTAGTGCACTAGAAATGTATACTAGATCAGTAAAGTACATATAGTCCACAGTGAACCATATATACCTGTAAAACACAAAACACATTACAAACATTCATTCATGCAGACTAAGTAATGGACCATCACGACACTTATAATATGGCTCATTGGGAGTCTTTCTGCTAGCTGACAAAATCATTTGGAATACTATTCATTTGTTTGTTTAATGCCGCACTCACCAATATTCTAGCTGTATGAAGGCTATAAACAATAAAGACTTGACCAGACAATCCAGTGACTGATAAAAAATCCACTCCAGGTACGACACACAATTAACCAACAGAGCATGACCATGTGGACTCTACTGTGTCTCTCACCTCTACTACCAAGCTGCTCGCTATATATGTTTACCTGGAATCACCACAAGGTGAATCACATTCATATACGAGGAAATCTCATCAGACTGGAATATAATCCCATACATTCTGGAATATATTGTATTTTCTCACAAACAGAATATTTTTTCAGAGGAAGTAAATAAAGTATTTTACAAATTACAGACAATAGTCTTAAAGACAACATAAACTCCACCATAACCTTACATGCAGCTCCTGTTGATGAGAGTGTAGACACAAGCTTAGAAATTCACAAATAGTAAGCATAGTAACCTGCTCTTTCACTCCAATATAACAACAGATTTTACTATCAGGAAACTGATTTTGGTTAATTCTATCAATTTACTGGTCATTGATTTGGGCAAATATTTAATCAAATCGTTGAACTTATCTTATAAAAAGGGAGAACTTTCTATATCTCTTAAAAGGGGACTCATCACATGCATTCCAAAAAGCAATACTAGTAAATCAAAAATATATTTAAAACATTGGCGACCAGTTTCTTTGTTATCAATTTTCTATAAAGTTGCGTCTCTCACAATTTCCAAATGGATAAAAACAGTTCTTAATATACTGATCAATGAAGACCAGAAAGGTTTTATGTCTGGTAGGTATATTGGGGAAATTACTAGAATGATATATGACCTTATGGAATATACAGAAACTCATCAAATACCTGGTCTACTTTTACTTATAGATTTCGAAAAAGCATTTGACACTGTGGATTGGGCATTTATAGATAAAACGTTGTCATTTTTCAATTTTGGAACTTCTATTAGAAAATGGTTTAAAACTTTGTACGGAGCAATCGAATCAAATGTTTGAGTCAATGGATATGGTTCCGCTATGTTTAATATATCTAGAGGATGTCGCCAAGGCGACCCTCTCTCGCCATATATATTTATTCTATGTGATAAGAAATAATAAAAATATAAAAGGTATAAATATTGGCAATATAGAATATTTACTTCATCAGTTTGCTGATGACACAGCCTGGACCTTAGATGGTTCTGAACATTGCCTTTTTGCAGTTTTAAATGTATTGGATATCTTTGCAAGATTCTCAGGACTAAAAATTAATATCGAAAAAACAAGGCTTATATGGATAGGATAAAAAAAGCGCTCAAGAATGAAACTTTGTCCTCAAAAGAATCTAAACTGGGACCAAACGTCCTTTAACCTACTTGGTATAACATTTACGCTAGATACTGACGATATAGTCGAAGAGAATTACAAAGAAAAACTTAGAGCATGTGAAACACTAATGTATATCTGGTCCGCCCGTAACCTTACTCCGCTCGGTAGAAATGTAGTTCTAAAATCACTAATCATTCCAAAACTAAATCACCTTTGGCTCTATTCCTAATCCAAGAGATGATGTTATAAACTCATTACAACGAAAATGTTACAGATTTATTTGGAACTGTAAACCTGATAAGATAAAAAGAAAACAGATAATTAGTGATAAAAAAGATGGAGGATTTAATATGCCCAACATAAAAGGTATTATACAATCGCAAAAATTGTCCATGCTAAGACGTTTTCTTTCACACTCTGCTAAATGGTGTAATCTTTTTATTTTGAATTTCCCAAAGATAGGTTATGGTAATATATTTGAGTATAGTTGTCAACATTTGAGAGATAAAATACTTCCTTTGATAAGAAATAATTACTACAAAGATGTCGCTTTCAGTGGTGGGACTTTACATCTCAACTTGAATTAAACTCTGAAAAAGATAGTGATAATGAAATCCTTACTGAAAGTATATAGGTATAATAAAAATATTATGGTAGAATGTAAAACGGTTTACTACAAAGAATGGTACGAGCACGGGGTTCGCTGGATTAATGACTTGATTGATAATAATGGTAATTTCTTTCAATTTGAAACGTTTCTAAAACAATTTGACATAAAAACAAATTTTCTCAAATAGCATGGTCTTATTTGCTCCGTTAAACAATATCTTCGAAAGACCAATACAGATTTAAAAACAATAACACGCAAACCAAACCCTGTTCTACCCCGATATATGCGACATCTCTGTAAGAATGTAAAAGGGACGCAATACTTGTACAAAACTCTAATTTCAGGTCTAGGTTTAAAAAAACCAACATGCATCGAAATGGGAACTACACAATTTATACGACGACATTATATCTAATGACTGTCCACTTTACAATACTATTCCCTTTAGATGTACGAAAGATACTAGACTACAATGGTTCCAATACAGACTTTTACACCATATCTTGCCAACAAACATTTTTTTAGAAAAGATAGGATATAAAGACACTAGTAATAGCAGTTTTTGCTCCAAAGATATAGAAACAACTATCCACTTATTCTGGTCTTGCAGCAAGGTAAACCATATATGGAAAAAACTTGAGAACTGGCTACATGCTAAAGCACAAATAAACCTCAAAATTGAAAAGAAACATGTAATGCTTGGTTACCCAAATAAAAACAATGATCCAATAAATATCATCTTAATTTTCTTCAAGGAACTAATTTTTCGAAATAAGTTTAACAACATTATGCCATCTTTTCAAGTTTTCAAACATAAACTGTTTGAATATTATATGTTAACAAAGAGCTCGTCAATAATTAGTTGTAATATCAATGCTTTCTACACATTCTGGTCGTCATGTCATGATTTATTCTGCTAAAACTATTTGATTGTTAATCATGTATACTGGAATATCACTGTTATTTGTTTGTATAAAATGTTGTAAAATGCAACAAAATAAAAAACTATAAAAAAAATTAAAAAATTTACTGGTCAAAGTTGCCAGTGAACCAAACTTAACTGGGAATCCATAGATATTAATCAGTCATAACTAATTTAGTCCCACCAATGTGATAACACTCAGAGTGTTGTGGGCTTGTCACAGACATCCCCCACAAACAGGTCTGACATCACTGTCATCATGGGGACCTATTTATCTTTGTATCAATTGACCTTTGTTTTCTGAGGGACACAGAAAAACAGCTTAGCTTTAGCTTGTAAAACATATCAAGTTAAAGGGGCACTGATCAAGAATAATTCCCCAGGATTGGTTGTTTGTTTTGTTAGTGTATATTTCCCATGAGTACCCAGATGATATGCCAGACATCTTGACTGGTTTACAACATCAACTGTGCCACCTTTAAGAGCAATCGATTACTGATATCCTCATATTGATCAACAAGATGAAATATAGTTAGGTCTTTGTGACCCCTTCATATTTCACTTACTTTGTAAACTGGCTGAATATATCCAGTTTATTATGATAACAAGTCCAATCAAATTGAAGCTAAATTTAATCCCCAGTGCCCAAAACCATTAGATTGAAAGAAAACTATGTCAATACCTATACGTCTTTATAACGCTAGCTCATGTATACACTTTGGAACTTGATAATATATTCAGTCGACTTGGTATTCTCAGTGAGTATATTTGTACAATGGTTGTAATATCAACGCATGTTATTGTATTATTGAATCACATCTCACACACACACTCCTACAAGAAGGCTTGCAAAAACAAAAACTTAAGTGTTGCTTGTCAGGTATCAAAGAAATTCATAACGATAATTTAACTGAAGTGGAATGATTCTGTTGAATACTGCAACAAATGTATGAAATCAAAATGCACACGTCGAAATTTCAACTGATTGTTATACGAATAATGTCAGGTCATTACCTTGTTCAAGGAATGTATCCATCAACATCCACATAAAGGAACAATATCCCAAACATCTGCATTTGAAAAAAAAGCGTATTCCATGTCACACGGCTTTAACAATCTAATATCCACCTCCCTACAACTACAGACTGTGGCAGCAACTGATGGGGCCAGAACAGTGACAACCTACTGATGGGGCCAGAACAGTGACAACCCACTGATGGGGCCAGAACAGTGACAACCCACTGATGGGGCCAGAACAGTGACAGCCTACTGATGGGGCCAGAACAGTGACAACCTACTGATGGGGCCAGAACAGTGACAACCCACTGATGGGGCCAGAACAGTGACGAACTACTGATGGGGCCAGAACAGTGACAAACTACTGATGGGGCCAGAACAGTGACAACCTACTGATGGGGCCAGAACAGTGACAACCCACTGATGGGGCCAGAACAGTGACAACCCACTGATGGGGCAAGAACAGTGACAGCCTACTGATGGGGCCAGAACAGTGACAACCTACTGATGAGGCCAGAACAGTGACAACCAACTGATGGGGCCAGAACAGTGACAACCTACTGATGAGGCCAGAACAGTGACAACCTACTGATGAGGCCAGAACAGTGACAACCCACTGATGGGGCCAGAACAGTGACAACCTACTGATGAGGCCAGAGCAGTGACAACCTACTGATGGGGCAAGAACAGTGACAACCTACTGATGGGGCAAGAGCAGTGACAACCCACTGATGGGGCCAGAACAGTGACAACCCACTGATGAGGCCAGAACAGTGACAGCCTACTGATGGGGCAAGAACAGTGACAACCTACTGATGAGGCCAGAACAGTGACAACCCACTGATGGGGCCAGAACAGTGACAACCTACTGATGAGGCCAGAACAGTGACAACCTACTGATGGGGCAAGAACAGTGACAACCTACTGATGAGGCCAGAACAGTGACAACCCACTGATGGGGCAAGAACAGTGACAACCTACTGATGGGGCAAGAACAGTGACAACCTACTGATGAGGCCAGAACAGTGACAGCCTACTGATGAGGCCAGAACAGTGACAACCAACTTATGGGGCCAGAACAGTGACAACCTACTGATGGGGCAAGAACAGTGACAACCCACTTATGGGGCAAGAACAGTGACAACCTACTGATGGGGCCAGAACAGTGACAACCCACTGATGGGGCCAGAACAGTGACAACCTACTGATGGGACAAGAACAGTGACAACCTACTGACGGGGCCAGAACAGTGACAACCCACTGATGGGGCCAGAACAGTGACAACCCACTGATGGGGCAAGAACTGTGAAAACCTACTGAAGGGGAAAAACTGACAACCCATTAATAAGGTGATATTTAGTTAAGGACAGTGCAGAAGAATGCATTATTTGTAACAAATGTCCAGTTACCTGTGAGTAGACATACATCATCAAAGCAACAAAACACTGGCCAATCAGATATAAAACAAAGCCTGAAAGTTCAAATAAAACCATGACTAAATGAAATTACATACAACACAAATATACTGGTCAGACATTTCATGCAGTACGTTTGTAAAACATGAGAATGTTTCACTATGGAGCTTTGATCTCCAGGCTGCATCTGAACTAGTCTGTATGATCATACTGCACATGCATTTTGTGTGATCTGACCGTTGTAGCTAGTACATTCATTATGCACTATGTAGAATATATAAAAGAGCATTTAACTAGCATTACCAAGAGGATGTCCGTAAACTGTCAATTCATTATGAATGATGTAAATTTGAAATGAGAGTATTTTTACACACAATGATCACTGTACCTTGGTGTCATCCATCAGAGCAGTTCCAAACCAAATGTTGGCCTCACAGACCTTGGTTTTCCATACCTACTGGACACAACTGTTGCCAAACTGTTGATGGTGTGTACCATGTGACAAAAATACAAATTTATCTACTTTCGGTTTACCGAAATAAAATGACTCGCTAGTATAGACAAAACACCCTGTTTAGTTTCTACTGCTGATAAACATAGGGTACTGAGTGGAACATTTTTCTTGGAATCCACACACAGAATAATCAACTCCTGAAATAGCTAAGAACTAAAACAGTGTTTGAACTGAATCATTGAATCCAATAAGAATACGGTGACAGTGATAACAACAACAACAATGACAACAACAAGAGAAAACTGGCACTGACCAGTCTCCATGGCAACTTACCCAGCAAGTATCACAGTTGTTCTGCACATTCTAGATTGCAGGTTGAAATTAACAAAATGGTCATAAACATAATGAAAACCTTACAATGTAACCTCAACTACTTAAGATACAAACATGTATGGCAGAATGCCATGGCATAACATTTGACCATCAAGCAGCCAGTGACATGGGTATATATAGTAGACTTCTACACCCAGACTGAATGTAAAATTAGTGATTGAAATTAGTGAGCTTAGATGATGCTATGATAAGAAAACATTTTGTTTGACTGTTTTCTGACAAGAAAAATCATGATGTTCCCCAAGACAGCTATCACAATAAGTATAGTGTTAAAATCTTCTTAGCTCTTTAGAGAGTGAGCAATAGTATTGTGACCAACATTTGCAGTTTTGAATCTAACTACTGGGAAATACACACAGAAATAAACATCTGTAGTCATTCAATGATATGATCCTACATTACATCCCAATTACATGCACATTACATGCCAGTGTTAATACCATAGGGTTACTGTGTGTCAGGACAAGCTGATACGAAATCACTTCCCCACATACCTAACTATTCCAATGAAGTGAAACTTCAGATACATACCTGTGCAAAGCAGAGAGGTACAAAGGCCATATAGTACGCTGTCAGCATGGAGTTAAAAAGAACTTGCTTCACTCGATTATTGAAGTCATTTTTGAGTGCTTCCACTTCTTCCCTGACAATGTCTGGTGTAAGTGTACAGTTGTGATAGAGCACTGACTCTCTCTCCAGGGGGCGGTGTTTGGCCACGCCCTTGTCCCCATATGTGGCCACACGTGGCCATGCATGCTGTCTCTGGTAAAGTGGTTTCAGTGTAGGCCCAAAGAGTATCAGATATGTTGCCAGTCTGAAACATGACACAATAGATAGTTAAGACAACAACATGCATTAGCAACATAATCGGATGTAAACATGGGAGTACCATATTTTCTTGGACAGATTTAGCATAATGACATTCTCCCTCACATCCTTGGGAATATGAAAACAATGTGTACCATGATCTGCCTAAAGCAAGTCAACACTCGGCTGGAGGAAACTTGAGATTTATGCTTGGTCAAAAAGTCTATATTCATATAACTTTTGCAAACAAAATCATGACTAAACATGATTATTCACAACTTTTGTTACATTTTCTACTGCAGTGTTAAGCATTGTCATACAATGACAAGATTGCTATTTTTACATTGATTTCAATATTTGATATGTATCCTGTCGCACACTACTCCACTTTGTCGGGTTTTCTGAACAAAATGTGCACACAACTGTTTGCAACTTGAAACACCTCACCAGGACATGGGCTGTCTGTGACATATGCAGCATGCCCCTAAACCTCTGAATCTGGAGTGCAGTCTCAATAAGTCAACCATAAGGGCAAGGACCAATGACCAACATATCCTGAGATACAGGATAAGTATTAAACTAACTGTAAAATGTGCACAGATATATATGTATCCTTTCTCAAAAATGAAATTTTTAGAGTAAAATTAATATTTTATACTTATCCTGACTCATGCTTATTGCTTGTCTTCTTCTTCTTGTGAACATAGTGGAACACGTGTATCTCCCAATTGAAGTTCCCTTCAATAAAAAATCACTAATTAGTACTCACCACGAGTTACCTCCCTTCCACAAGCTGGCTGAACGAGGGGCCACCTCAACCCATGTGCCTCACTCTCTCCTCATATACTGAGCCCAACATTTGAATTTACGGGGAAATCCAAAGTGTTATTTGGGAGGATGGGAGGGCTGACCTCATGAGTCAGGATAAGTATAAAATATCAATTTTACTCTAAAAATTTCATATTTTTTCCTTATCCTGACTCATGCTCTTTTGCTTGTAGCATCCCAACGGAAAGGAGGTGGGAATATATATACTTTGGATTTTAATAATTAGTGATTTGAACTGTGATGATTGTAATAACCCTATGGGAACTTCATAAAGGCACTGAATTGATGAATTCCTGCTGCTAACTTATCAGCTGCCATATAAAAGGTTATTACCATGTACTTCTATTATGATAAAGTATATATAACATTAATACAATGCTTAAGACTAATAGACTTAAGCTTGTTAATATGCTAGTATAAACTCCTTAGAGTTTGTTAGCTAAAATACTTTTAAGATATAACATAGTACTAAGCTTAAGATATGATTAAACTTAAGCTAATTATATAATAGCAAACTCTTTAGAGTTTGTTAATTAATATACTTATATGATATAGATATAATGCTGAGCTTAAGATATGAATAAGCTTTAGCTACATATATATAATAGCAAAACTCTGTAGAGTTTGTTAGCTAATATATTTTTATAATATGAGTATAGTACTGTGCTTAAGCCTATAATTAACTTTAAGCTACATATATAATAGCCAAACTCTGTAGAGTTTGTTAGCTAATATATTTTTTATAATATGAGTATAGTACTGTGCTTAAGCTTATAATTAACTTAAGCTACATATATAATAGCCAAACTCTGTAGAGTTTGTTAGCTAATATATATTTATAATATTAGTATAGTACTGAGCTTAAGATATAATTAACTTAAGCTACATATATATAGCAAAACTCTGTAGGGTTTTGTTAGCTAAATATTTTTACAATATGAGTATAGTAGTGTGCTTAAGATATAATTAACTTAAGCTACATATATAATAGCAAAACTCCCCAGAGTTTGTTAGCTAATATATTTTACAATATGAGTATAGTAGTGTGCTTAAGATATAATGAACTTAAGCAACATATATAATAGCAGAACCCCAGAGTTTGTTAGCTAATATATTTTACAATATGAGTATAGTATTGTGCTTAAGATATTATTAACTTAAGCTACATATATAATAGCCAAAAACTCTGTAGAGTTTATTAGCTAATATGTTTATAGTGTAACCATAGTACTAAGCTTATAGTACTGAGCTTAAGCTATGATGAAACTTAAGCTGTATATATATAATAACAAAAACCCATTGAGGTTTGTTAGCTAATACTCTTTATAATGTAACCATACTGCTTAAGATATGATGAAAACTTAAGCTAATTGTATAATAAGCGATAAAACAACCCTTTTAGAGTTTGTTAGCTATGATATAAACCTAGTATTGAGCTTATGAAGGAAAACTTAAGCTACATATATAATAGCAAGAACTCCATCAGAGTTTGTTAGCTAATACATGTTATAATGTAACTCATAAAGCTTAAAATATGATGAAACTTAAGCCGAAATATATAATAGCAAAACCCTCTTTTAGAGTTTTGATAGCTAATATACCTATATGATATAAACATAGTACTGCTTTAAGATATGAATAAGCTTAAGTTACATATATAATAGCTAAAACTCTGTAGAGTTTGTTAGCTAATACATGTTATAATATAACCATATTGCTTAGAAATATGATTGATATTCTTTAAGCCAAATAGCAAAAACTCTTTAGAGTTTGTTAGCTAATCTACTTATATAATATAAACATAGTACTAGGCTTAAGATATGAATAAGCTTAAGCTACCTATATAATAGCAAAACTCCTTAGAGTTTGTTAGCCAATATATTTTAATAATATGAGTATAGTACTATGCTTAAGGTATAATTAGCTTAAGTTACCTATATAATAGTAAAACTCCGTAGAGTTTGTTAGCTTAATTAACTTAAGCTATGTATAAAATAGCCAAAAACTCTGTAGAGTTTGTTAGCTGATGCATTTATCATGTAACCATATTATTACTCTTAAGATATGAATAACTTAAGGTAAATATATATAATAACAAACTCTGTAGAGTTGTTAACTTATATATTGTATGATGTAATAATCATAGTACTGTGATGATAAAAGGAACTTAAGTAAATTATATATAGCATGAAGCTATTTAGTATTGTTATAAGATAAGTAAAAATCTGTTAGATTGACTTATCTTCTCCAGGAACTGTCAGCTGCCAGCAAAGAGGACCATGGGATCGAAATGGTGTATACCTGAGACGTCCTCGGTGGTGATATCTCTCAGATAATGGTTTGCAACCACCATATCGGATCTCCAGAAATAAACCTCCAATATTTCAATCACATTTGTGTGGAACAATTGTAGAAGTTAGCGCTATAATATCATGAGTATTAAGCTTCATGGAGGGTCGGAATAGGTCCATCCGCATATGCGTGAATGTAGTATGACAGTTCCGATCCAAAATGGAGATATAGTACATGAGACTTTCTCTCTGCTGTTGATGATGTGATAGGAAATAATCACATTGCATTTTTTACTCCTGTTTGGTTTGGTGGAGATAAATTTACAGTGCTCTTTGCTGGCCATCTTGATAGAATCATCGTATCAATGGGGTCCAAGTATGTCATCCAGGCGCGGTGTTCATAAACCTCACTTGTGCGAGGTGTTGGAGCACTATATTCATATCCCCAGGTTGGCTGAAATTTCCGTTTATTCTCCAAACAGAAGTTTAGTAGGTTTACTAACCATCTAGTTGTGTTAGTCGCTTGATGAAATTCAGCTGTAGTCTGAAACGCTGTGGATTTTAGATCCACTTGCATCTTCTCGGCCTCAGGTAATTCGGCCACCCGCTAAGTCCTTGACGATGTAGGTGCACAACCAGGTGTGTCTGTCCTCGTTTGAACTTTATGTAAAATCGCCTGACTGCCGCATCCCTCGCCTTAACTTGACAGGGAGGTCTCTATCTCTTGAAGAAAGGCAGTCTAATCATGAATGTTCAGGTGTTAACTGGACTGTAATGAGGCTTCTGGCTCTCGTTCACTGATATATAGTTGTCACTTGTGGCGTAAGTCTTGAACTGTATGAATAGAGATCGACCTCTGTGTAGGTCATCAACGTTGTCCCTCATGGGTCCAAATCAGAACAAGGCATTTTGATTCTGTATAATATCCCCTGCCAGATGTCACCCGGTGTAGCGGAAAAACCCACCTTTGAATAAATTCTTGTAACGCCGAATTGATATTAGCATAAACGCCGGTCTTCACCCGTAACTTCCCGGTTATCCGAAAGTGACCACGTGTTTCCGAGGGTTAATGGTAACCGCTGGCTAAGCCTCCGTGAAATATCTCGGCTCTGTAATTTTATGCTGGTAGGTTATTTTTCCAGGTTGTCGTGGAAAGTAATTTCAGGTTTTGGAATATAATTCCACTTTTATATATATGGGTATAAAACAACTCTGCAAGTTGTGAGCTCTTTGTAGGACTGTATACATGAATGTATCGGGCCATAATTGTAGAATTAACGTTGAACTTGTTGTACATATTTCTCTCTGTGAAACTTTGACGCATTAAGAGTTATACTCGCTGTAACAAGGCTGCTGTTCATTTCGATATTGAATTGTCTGCAGATATGCGAATGAATGGTCACGCATGTAGATAATCGATCGTCGTCCGGGATTGTATATTAGCAATTTATAATGGAATAGTTGGATTTCTGTGAAGATCTATGAAATGTCGCTGACTAATAATAAATACAGCGACGTTCTGTGTTGTAAATAGCCTCCGAGCAATTATCTTCGGCCAGAGGGTTTATAGATCGCATCTGGCATACAGTTGATAATCAACTTAATGCGACGCCTTGAACGGACTGACAGTAGTAGCTATATATGACGAAAGGGCTAGTATATGGGAAACCTTGGAGAGACTTCGGTGAACGCTGAGGAGACTTAGAAGTTCTCAAGTATCCCTTCTAGATCTTCTGGGTGAAGTAGACTTGGAGCCACTTAGCCTTCGACCCTTCCATCGCTAAGGTGTCGAGTCAAAGCCCGATTAGTATATATATATATATATATATAAATATATATATGAGCTTTGTTTCTGTGAACAGCCTCTGTGTTTAACAGGATGTGGATC